TCTCCACTCCGAGCACCATTCACAAGAAGTTTTCTTCGATGTGAGACCCTTCAAGACCCACTCCGAGATGTACTCCAGCAAAATTCAGCTTGGTGTAATCTCCATCTTTGTGGGACAAACTTTCACACCGAGATAAATATCGACTGAATTCAGGTTGGGGTCCCTTCAACACCAGACACACACCTCTACACCAAGATGTACACCGGCATAATGAAGCTCGGTGTAGTTGTGCTGATAACACCGTATTTCGACCACTTTTATGGATCGAATTTAAATGTTTTTCAAATGCTTTTTATTTCTTTTAATTTTTTTTTACTATTATTTTCTAGTATTTGTAGTTCGAAGACTCTTTTCAGGTAATTAAGGCAAAAGGTGTGCATTTTAAAGCAAAATCATTTTGGATAAATTTGGGCCGTCAGAAGTTTCACATCCGATGAAGACCTTCTCACCGTCAGATCATCCCCAAAATTGGACATATTATAAAAGAAACAACTAGTTTTCCAATGCAATTGGTTTGTAGACAATCCAATGGTTATATCTCCGGATATCCTTGATGCACTGAAGACATATTCTGCAGTCTCGCGAAGGAAGCAAGCGCAGAATGAAGATTCAACCTCACAAGCCAATCTCCGCGGGTCCAGGCTCCACGATCACGGAAAACACACTCTCAGCCACGGTTGTGAGCCTCTGGCCGAAGCCAAACCCTAATTCACCGCGGGTGGAAGCCTCGCGACCATGACCGACTAAAAGGCAGGCCCATGACCCCGTTTCAAGCCCAATTCGTCTTCTCTTCATAGAAAAACCTAAGGACCACTGGAGAGAGTTGAAGACCTATAAATATGTATCTAAGCAGCCCTATTTTCGTGTGCCTCAAAAGAATCCCTTTTGGGAGCCACCAAATATAGTTTTCTAGGGTTTTTATGTTCTTATGTTCTTAATTTTTAGTTTAGGGAGATAGAGATTTCTCTTGAACCCTCTTTATGTTCTACCTTTACTTTAATTCGGCTTTTTCTCTTATGCATCTTTCAATTTTGTTTTCATATTCTTCATATTAGATTAGTTGTTTAAAGGATTTGAAGAGAAGTTTTATATCTCCGAGCCGAGTTCTCGAAATCGAGATGCTTTGTCTTCATCTCATTGTCTCTTTTTCTTTAATTCTTTCTTCTTATTACTTTATGCACGTCTTCTCTTATTACTTTATGCACGTTTTTGAATGATGAGGTATGAGTTTAAAGGCTTGATCGAAGGGAATCGACTATGTTCGGTAGGGATTTTCGCGAGATAAACCAAAGCCGAATTCTAGAAATCTTACTTTTGAATTTATACTTAAAGCATGGATCTAGCGTCGCGAACTAGAGACTGATCCAGGTCCTTGGTGATACGAAAGTATTCATCCGGGCCAGATCTAGTTTGGGAGAGCAAAACAAATATAGGAGTGGAAACCTACCTATGGGCGATTTGTGAATGCTGACGAGTCTTAAGCATATTGCATCTTTTCTCTTCCAGGGCCAGATTGGAAACCTATTGGTCAGGATTGAGAGAGATAGTTGTATGTGATCACGACAGTGGCGTATTTATACGTCCGTGACTCGAGTTATAAGAATTTACTAGGATCAATATTAAGAGCTTTGTTCATCCTTTAGATTTATTATCGATTTATTCACTTCTAGTTGTTAAAATCCTTTTTAAAACTATTTTTAAAACCATTTTCAATCCTTTTTCAAATCCCTTTTTAAAATACATTTATAAAAATTGTGACAACCTATCCAAAACCCTGTTTTTCGTCTTACACTTCGTTTACTAATTCTGGTTCTAAGGTTCTACAGGTAAAGCGTGGATTCTCTGTGGATCGACACCCTAAATACTACAACGCACTGCTGTTCACTTGCAGATATCTAGGGTTATAAATTTAAAACATGGAGCCGCGAAGAAGTCAACCCTAGCAGTATCATGTGCCGTTTTATTTCTGGGAAATTTCTCTGGGTCAACACTTGGTTTGTTCCGGATTAACCCTGGACTTAAGGACCTAGTATAAATATGTTTTAGAGTTTTTCCACCAGAATGATCATTTATCCTTTAGAATTGTTTTGCCTCTTTTGTGCTAAGAATCCTTTGAGAGAGACATCTCCTTTTGATCTTAATCCAAGAGAGTTTTTAAGAATTTAATCATCTATCTATTTTCATTCCATCATCTTCTATCTATCTTATCTCTTTAATCATATTTAACTTCTCTTCTTGCAAAGGAATCAGAGAGTTAAATATGATTATTGAGTAGTTTTCTTAATAGTGCTTTAAAAATATGTAGGTTAAGGTGCAAAAGTGTTAGATTAGGGTGCTTAAGATTAGAATTATTTTTTCATTTCTCTAAATAGCTGATCTTAATGCTGAAATGCCTGGGTTTTAGATGATCTCTCTAACCCAGATCTTAGACATTTCATCCACCCACAAAGTATTTGATGAAATGCCTGAACCAGCTATTATAGAGGTTTATACATTAATGTCATGGGAATGTTTATTATATGCATAAATGACATTTTAGGATTGATTTATAATGATGTATTATTTTTATGTCTCCAATGATGATTGTGTATGAGTAATAATTTGATTTGTGTTCTAGTGCTCGGGAAAGAATAGACTTTTTTTGAATCCTAAGTTGCTTGAATCATATTTCATATTGTTATTAGCACCTTGGTTGATCATTAATGCACCTTAGCCAACTATCATGTCTAGAGCTCCATGTTTTCATCATTTTCATATCATCATTATCTGCTTTGCTTGTTTTTGTTTGCTTTTATTCATTGCTTAGACTTTTTTAGTTTAATTCTGTCATTTTTTACAAACTAAATCACTTGCTTTCTTGGATTAAGATATAGATTATATAGACTAATGTTCTAAACACGACACTTATGGATTGATAACCCTTTGTACTACAACATCAAGGGAAATTGAACCCTGAAAAGCTTGAAAACCTTTTGTTATCACCATCTTTGTTCAAAGAAGCAATGCAACATAAACATTGGCACGTAGCTTCCAAAGACGAGGTTCATGCTCTTGAGAGAAACTGAACATGGGATGTTGTAGACTTACCTCCCAACAAAAATGCCATCAGATGTAAATAGGTATTCAAGGTCAAGCCGAAATCAGACGGCACTCTGGAAAGATACAAAGCCGGGCTAGTTGTGCTTGGTAATCATCAAGAGGAAGGAACCGATTATGATGAAACATTCGCCCCTGTCATTAAGATGACAACTGTGCGAGTTTTTCTAAAGCAGCCTCAAAGAATTGGAAGCTCCATCAGATAGATGTCCAAAATGTCTTCCTCCATGGCGATTTGAAAGAGGAAGTCTGTATGAAGCTCACACCAGGTTACACCTCATCTGATAAAAATAAAGTCTGCAAACTGAGAAAGTCTCTTTATGGCCTTAAACAAACACTGACATGTTGGTTTGCGAAGTTATCTGCCTCTTTGTTGAAGTTTGAATTCGTGCAGAACAAGAAAGACTACTCCATGTTTTCACATCATTTGAGATGCATTCTAAGCAGGGGAACTGGTACCAGCTCATGTCCGCACCAATGAGCAACTTACAGACTTATTCACCAAAGCATTTGGATGGGAGTTCGGGATCTACATTCCTCATCTTGAAAAGGAGTATGAGATAATATTTTAGAGCTAAACTATTGCTACTCTATATATATTGTACTCGATATCTTTGGTAAAATACAGAAAAATCATTCAGCAATCTCTTTACCTTATCAATTTTGAATCATGCTTATTCACAAAAATATAAAACATTTATATAAAACACATGCAATTATTAATAATCACATTTAGTGTTGCGACCTTATCGCGTGGAAATGCCGGCGATGAAATGAATAGATATGTGAAAAGAAACGAGTGGAACGAACCGACTTTTTGACAATTTCTTTAAAATATGATTGATGGTACCAACTAATGGCCTTTTGTGTTGCTGAAGTTGTGAGGAACATTTTTTATATTACAATAAAAGATTCTATGCATGATCGCAAGTTGCAGATAACACAACACAAGTGGTATGACCCACATTTTAAAATGTTGATAACATGCTAATTTTGTTACACATTTACCATAATAATTAGATGAAGTGGCTTACAAATTCTTTGAAAAAACAGCTGAGTTCAAAAGGTAGGATATTTAAATTGATTGGTCGAAGTATGATCAATGTGGATATATTTAGTATGGTACTTCACTATTTTTTTTAATTAATGTTCATAAATAGAAGGTATACTTTATTCAGAGCCGTGCCTGAATACAGGTTAACGAAGCATGTGCTTCAGGGTCAGAGGAGTTAAATATTTTTTTGGAGCCAATTTTCCAGAGTTTAAATTAGTCCAAGTGGTTTGTGAATGGGTGAAAAAATGTTTGGTTAGTGATTTGCTTGGGTTTGATTCTTTCCAAACGCATATTTATCATTTTTTTTCTTTCTGCCAATTATTTATAGACTAAGCTGCATTAAAAAGAGTTTTAAGGGACCAATTTTTTTTCTCCAATTCTTTCCAAGCACAGATTGTCATTTTTTTTTTTTTGCCAATTATTTATGGACTAAGGTGCATTAAAAAAAGTTTTAAAGGGTCAATTTTTTTTTCTCGCTTGTAGTTAGAGAAATCTCAGACACGGTTCTAACTTTATTCACGTTTAGTTTTTAGCAAATTAACAAAACAATGTTTTTAAACATTTTTTTATTATGAAAGTCCTCGTATCTAATGATGACTAAAATGTTAATTAATATCTTTGCACTATGAGATTTAGAGTTTGATTTCCAGAAAATATATTTTTTTTTTACAGATTCGTTAAAGAAAACAGGAAATATATGGCATAATACAAATAGAACTACTGGTCGTTGTAGTTCTCATCCGTTATAAATTTCTGTGAAACAGATAAATTGCCTGTTAAAAATTTGTTCTTGGATAAATTTTTGTAATAAACAAAAAGATTCGGAAGATAAAAAAAAACTAATTGCCCATTACGGAAAAAAATAATTTTCGTTTTATTGTCAATCCAATACATGACAAAGAATTGTATACCTCACCTATATGGCTATAACTATACCAATAATTTTCTTGTAAAACAAAAAAAAAAGAAACCTATGAAAACAGTTAACAGACAAGGACACATGCCGAGCTTATCTCATCCTTGTTTTGACGCCCATTTCAATTATAAACCCTGCTACAGACAAACCCATCACGGCTCTCCACAAATTCAAAATCTGCACACAATCATTCAACATCCACATTATTATCATATATCTTATCACTTTGATCATAAACTTTAATGATAACATATAAGAAATATCCTGACTATATATTGAGCAAATGAGAAGTCACTAGATAACAACTTTTTATGATTTTCATGTTTTTTTCGGCATGTTTCTTATTTTTGTTAATTAAATATTACTTCAAAAACATATATTTTGCGCATTCAATTACAAAGACGAATAAGTTTATACACACATATATATATATATATATATATATACCGTATATTTTTCGCTTGAATATGAAAATGGATATGTTAACTACCCGTATAAGTTATTATCTTGTATCTCCAATTTAAGTTTCTGAACTATTTATATACAAACATGTCGACCAAAAAGAATAATCATGCTCAAATTTTTTTGAATTGAATAATAACAAAACTAAAAATATTATTTGTTTTCTTGTTGATAAGAAAAAACAAATTATAATGCGAGAATGCGTTATAAATTCTGGCAAAACAAAACCTATTTCAGAAAATTATTTTTTTTTTTGTTTTTACAAAATTAAATTCATAATAAATGTAGACTTTGGTAGAGTTTTTGGATTTCGTTTTTGGTTATTGAGAAAATCCAACGTGAAGTAGATTTTAGTATTTCAAAATAGATATCGCAAGTAAAGCCTACTTTTTAATATAGAAAAACGTGGTTGTTAAAATCCTGATTGCATGATTAATGTTGAAATACAAAAAAAAAAACCATCACTTATGAAGGCCCTTTAACAAAAAAAAAAAAAACCATCACTTAAGAACTACCACGATTAAAGGCTAAAGCTATTTTTGTTGAATTTGGAAGGGAAAAAAATCAAGATTTTAGAACCCAAAAACAAAAGATATTTTTTTGAAGGGAAAATTAGAAATTTTTGGAAAAAAAAAAACTTGATATTGAAAATGTTTTGGAGAAGAAAAAAAGGGATTTTACCTTGATCGTAGCTGCACTTGAACTGTAAATAATATCAGGAAGATAACCCTGTAAACCAACATTATAAACCGGTTTACCATCCGGATAAAACAAACCATAATTCCTCTCAGAAGTCGGACCGGGTTTAAGATTCTCATTAAAAAGGGCAAAAACGTAAACATCAATCGGAACAGATTGCTTCGCCGGAGTCCCCTTCCTCTGTTCCACAAGCCTCAACAAATTCCCATTATAAAGCGCCGCGTTCTCCGGCGACGCTCCGATCTCGTCCACGTCTCCTTTAGATGGCCACCCCGTCTCCGAGATCCGAATCTCAATATCGGTATGACCCAAAGTTTTCACGGCGGAGTAAAGCGCATCGACCTGAGCAAACAACATGTTATCGTAATGGAGATTCGTGTTCGGATCAATCATCCCATGATTCGGCTGAAACAGAGCATACTCTAAAGGAATCTCTTTGGGACTGTCTTTGTAAGCGAAGAAAGGATAAGCGTTGATCAAGAAAGGAGATTTGATCTGAGAGTGAAAATCAAGAAGAGGTTGAAGAAACTGAACAAACTCTTCTTTGAATGATCCAGAGGAAGGAGGATAAGAAGTTTGGAGAATGTCGAGAGAATGTGCAGATGTGACCGTTACTTGTTTCTCTAACCCGAGGCTGAGTAAAGCAGAGTAAACCGATTTCATCGCCGGCAAGAGGCTCGAGATTAAAACGCGGTCGTTTGTTTTGAAGATTTCGTTTCCAACGACGATCGAGGTTATTCGGGTTTTGGAGATGTGTGGTTGGAGTCGTTGCTGGATCCAGGTTTCGGCTTTGGTTGGATCTGTTGACATGTTTTGGAGGAGCTCGTTGCCTAGTCCGATCATGAAATCGACTTGTGAGTTTGAGAAGGAGAAGAGGACGTTTGGATCTGCGTCGTAGAGTTTTACTCTTGTGATGTTTAGGGATCGGAGGAGGACGGCGACTCGAGCCGGTGACGGGAGGTTGTTCGCGATTTGGCCGTAGTTGATTCCTACTCCTTGGCTGTTAACTCTCACTGATTCCTCTGTAGAAAGGAAAAAAATAAAAAACTCACCATCATGAATCTGAATTCAAATCTCTAGAGACGAAAGAAGGTGCGGGCAAAATGATATTGGTGCGGAGCAGACGGAACATTAATTCTGTCTGTTCAACACCAATACCTTATACATTTTCCCACCTTCTCTATTGGGAGAAAATCGAAGAATTGACATTTTTTTGACTAAAAACATCAAATAGAGAAGGTGTAGACGGGACAAACAAGCGGAATAAGGTGAAATATTCACCCTATTCTGCCTGTTGAACACCAATATCTTCATGCACCTTCTCCAAAGTGAAGGAAGGAATAGATCACCTGAGCGAATAAGGAAGAGGAGAAGAACTCTGAAGAAGAAGAAGGAGAGACTGTGTGTGGTGGACATGGCTGATGAAAAGAGAAGAAGTCCTCTTTCTCTATCTCACACGGCCAAGCAAGAATCTCCTCCTACGAATAAATTTTCTTCTTCTTCGTTTTTTTGGTTTTGAGTTTGGTGTATTAATACGAGACGGTGGTCTTGGGAAAGAGGCCAACTGGTCTTCGCTTTCCGCGTTCGTCAAAAAAGCTCGCACCAGGTGTCTCTCACCAATGCATATATGATATACCTACATTTATATACTTTTTTTTTACATTATGTTTTAATATTTCCTTTAATATGCATGTTCTATTTTTTTGTTTTCTTATTATTTTATGGGTAGTAAATACATCTCGAGGCAAATGAAAAAAAATAATGAAACTTATTTCTATATTTTTGTAAAATATGTTGTAATAAAATTTTTGTTGAAGGAAATTAAACTATTTTCTTAATATATTTTTTCTGACCAATTTTAAATTTTTTTTTTAAAAAAAATTTATTAAAATCATAAAAGACATATAATCGGTTTAAGAAGGTTTAAGAAGATGGATGATTTTAATCAATAATATATGGGAAAGAACAAATGAAGAGAATAGCATAATAAATGGGTCAATTAAGTGAATAATATAAATAAATAAAAAAATGTAAAAAAAATCTTTAACTCCTTGTTTCCTGATTTTCGATATTATTTTTTCAGTCAGCAATTGGAACCACATCATTTTGCTTAAGTGATACAATATAAACTTTTATAAACAGCGACAACTTTATTGCTTTTCTTTTGTTCAAACGCAGGTGTCGTTTTTTATTTGGATAGAATTAGTAATACAACCCTACTATTTGGATAGAATTAGTATTGTTACATGTATTCACCCAATTCCATCGTTTTTTTCGTTGTTATAGATATTTGGTTCTCTAAATTTTGTAGATCTATAGTCAGGATCGGCCCAGACCTAAAGCCTATGAAGCAAAGGCTTTAGACGCAAAATTATATAGTAAATTTAGGGACAACATTTTCAGCAAATTTTTCTTTGGTGTAGTGGCTTGTATTGTAATTTCTCTTCTCTAGAGGCTCAGGTTCGAGCTCTAGGTCTGCATTTTTGTTTTTTTTTCTATTACGTTTTTCTGTTTTTTGACTTGCTTTTTTTTTAATTAATGGGCATTATTTTGAGGTTGGACTTTAGGCGCCAAAAGAGTTTGGGCCGGCCCTGTCTATAGTAGTTAACTATTTTTAGATGCATAACGAGACAGTGATAAATATATTGTATATTGTTCATTAGTAATATTATACTCTTATCGTCTATAACACATACAATAAATAGCTATTCCATATTTATATAGTTTACATAACTACTATACACTTATAATCAACTACTCACTTTACGATAGTTATTACATTACAATAATAGTCAGTCTACAATAACTAATTATTTGCTGATTTTCCTGTGTAGGGATATGTGTTCTCTTTAACAATGTAATCTTACACCGTTATCAAACACGGAACTTAGGTAAAAATAATTTTTTTACACAGTACACATTTACCTAGTAGTCAACTGTAACACTTTCTTATGAAATTCTGTTTACTACCGCAGGTCACCTTGATGTTTTAATGTTCATGTCTCTTCAATTACATGCTGAAAAAAACTCTCTGCACATTGCTATCGGTGAGAATGTTGTTCATGACGCCTCCCTGAAGTTTTCTTTTGATATTCTTTGTCATTTTGCATTGCTTACGTTATTTGAGGTCATCAAAAATAAAAAGAACATCTATTTGATCGTTTTCTACCTTATATATGTTTCTAAATTAGGGGATCCATCTTTTTGCTTTAGGAACTTATTTATTTTCTGTTTGGAAATATTTTCAGACTTACTTATTTGTTTTACAAAGCTACGTAGTTTTCAAATCAAAATTTAATTATGGAAAAGTTATTTAGTTACTTACTTCATTAGAATCAACATTGAATTGTATGGGGAAAATAAACAACTACCAATATTAACTTTGAATAGTAGCTATTTAACTGAAATAAGCAACTATTAATACTTACTTAAGACTATCTACAATGGGCCTGTTGAAAAAATAATTCAACAATTTAACTCTTCTCATGAGGATGTTGTAAATGACATTAGCGAACATGGATTCATTGGAGTTGAAAAGATTCAACTAGTTGAATCAATTAAAAGTGGGACTGCCAGTGCCACGTGGCGCATTATGAAGCTACTGAAGTTTTTAAAGATTTTTTTAATCCTAACTGTTTAGGAGATTTTTGGTCTTCGAGTAGGCACAAGTCTCCTACAAAACAGAGAAAACGTGAAGGCCCATAAAACATGATGGGGGTGTATTTTCTAAGAAAGCTCTCCGACGCTCAAATCAGAAAACAGCTTAAAAAGACAACTAAGTGGCTATGCGAGATCCTCCTTCTGTTTTTACAAGAAATCCCTAGACAACTAGAGATGTCAAACGGGCTAACCCGCGTCTAAGTAGCCCGACCTGATGCGGGTTTAAATTTTTTTCAGGTCTGACGGGCTGGCCCATCATAAGCTGCGGTCCCAAATTGATTTGTCCAAGCCCGACCCGCCTATACTCTACGGGTCTGCGGGTTGGCCTGCAGGTTCATACTTTTTTTCTTCATTCGTAAAGTTCTTATGAAATTTAGACTTATAGAACCAGAAAATTTGCAAGAGGAGAATAAAGTTTTGCTCGTAACTGAATCATAATATGCATAAGAAACAAGACTAAATAAAATTATTGTCTTAGTAAATTCGATGAACAAATCAACGAATTCGATAAACCTCTTATACAAAACTTCTAGCCCTAGGATGCTATAAGATTTGAAAAATAAATTTAACGGTAAGAATAGACATTTAGTTTTGAAAAGCAAATAAATGAATTACAAATAATATTACACATCAAAACTGGTAATTTAAGCTAAAGAACCATCAAGATACAAGCAACAAGACATTCACATATAAAATTAAAAAAAAAATAGATGAACAAAGCTTATTTGTTAGTCCAGCGTACAAACAAATATGATTCTCAAGCAAAACTATTTATTGTCAATTCAAGATTTAAGCAATTCTAAATTACCTTTGCATCATTGCGGACAAAATAAAAACACGTCCGTGATATAGTCGATGAGTAAAACCAACAAAAAAAAAAAAGGAAACTTATGACATTAAACTAAAATTAAAACCCTAAAAAAAAAGTAGTTTTTGGCTGGGAAGAAAACAACCAGATTTTTTCCCAAATTCAAAAATCCAATCGCAGAATCTGAATCGAAGCGAATATAAAACACATATCAGTTTGATGATTCCTTGATCTCATTGAAATGAAGCTATCACAAAGCCCAATAGCTGAATTGTGTGACTCCACTAGGCTTCGATTCACTCTATGAAACTACTACTTCGAAATCCACCAATCAAAGATGAAAAAATACTTCACTTTTCGATCTTTACAAGAAAACATCAAATTCTGCGGGTCAGACCGCAAACCCGCGGATCCGCTCTGACCCGACCTGCAAAAACCCAACTTCCTCGCGGATTTGGACCGCGAACCCCGCTTTTTTATTTGGACAAATTTTATGGAGCCCAAGCCCGCACTGCTGCGGTTATACTTGGGCCAAACCCGTGGATCAGAGCCTAATTTGACACCTCTATAGAAAACCTTCTTGCAAACGATGCTCGAGCGATTAATGGGGAATCAGAGAGTACAAAGAAGTCGAAAAACGAGTGAAAGGAAGTGGGCCGAGAATCCTTGAGAAAGGCATGATCTGCTCAGGTATTGGAGAGGAAATGGGCTTCTGCGGTGAAAAGAGAAAGAAATAGAAGCGTTTGTGGGATGAAATAATCCATGATTTAGAAACTTCCGTGGAGTGGAGGTGAAGAGAAGTGACCAAAAATACGATCGGAAAAGTGTAGAATGTCTGAACTTAAGAACCACAAGTATCTAGAGAGATATCATGAAACTTAAGATAGTTAAAGATGTGAACCCTTTTCCTGTGGGAAATAGCAAAGTATTTATAGAGAGTTCTCTGACCCAGGTTAGTATACCAGGTCAATCCATGGACAGTGAGTCAGGTGGATCGGCCCACAATCCGACTTGACTAAGTTCGAATCTTGCGATGGCGTTACGCTTCTGACGGTCTCACCAACTTTCTTTGGCATGTTCTGCCTGCTGTGGGACTGTTCCTTGGCGCATCCCTTTCGTCTTCAGTGTACGAGTTGGGTCTGCGGTTCAGACGCAGTATGGGTATCTGCTGAACCTCTGCTTTTCCTCCTGGCTCCTGCGAAAGATCATTGTCTCCTGACACACGTAAGGAAGATGTATTAAATGCAATTCTTGTGGGTTTGTAAAGGTATGGGTGATCAAATCAGACTAACTCATATTTCTTTTGTCAAATGGAGAGAAATTTGAATAGTATTCCCGCCTAAAAAGTCTACTCATATATGACCCGGTTCCCTCGATATTGGGACAGGGCTGTTGAGAATGGATGACTTTACTCTCCGGATACCTGTGCGGACCACACTTCTTTATATCACGACCCTTCTGGATCACCGAGCTTTGGTCTAGGACATAGAGAGAATGTGGCTTCTCCTCCTCCTGACCACTCAGTTTCCGACTTCCTTATTTCTGACAGTGTGGCATGCACCGTCAGACACAAAGAGTCCAAGAACAGGTGGCCTATTGTGCTGGATCTCCCGAATCCGAATGGATTCGAGATCCACAAGGAAAAAGAATTGGAGACAAGAAGCAAGACGATCCGGACATCTCTTCTCGGACAGCCGGCACTGCGATCGCGAGTGCGCTACCCGCGGCGAACCCATGTTTCTCCGTGATCGTGATACTTTCACCCGCGGCCAATGCTCTTTGTACCAGCCCTCCTACAGTTCAAGCCATAGGGACACCTCTCCAAGCAAACTTTTCTCACCTTGGATGCTTAACCTTCTCCACCACATCAGATAATAAAGAATCATTCGTCCTTGTATCTTGCAACATGGTTTAATGTTATGACGTGAGAGAGACCTTATTCACCTTATCATACAAGCATCTAAAACGTTCTCTTATCACAAGTGGTGTTGAAGACTCATACTTCAAAGAAGCTCCAAAACTGATTTTTGATCCCGGAGGAGAGTACTATCTGGAACCTAAGAACAAAATTTCCAATTAAGAATGGCATTATAAGGGATATAAGGAAAGACAAAGATAAGCAAAGAGGACTTG